AAGGATTGCGCTCGGCGACGGGGAGAAGAATCGATAGGTGATCAGGCTATCGATCAGCTCAGCTGCAAGTCAGGAATCTTCAAAGGCACTCTGCAGCGTGCTCAAAGTTCTCCGACTTGGGCAGAAGTCGCACAGAATTTTATATGGCTAGCAAGCCAATCACTAGCCGCCACGTAGGAATAATTTATAACTGGCCAATAGTGGGACACAAATTTGCATGCGAATGGCGGGAACTCTCTTGCACCGGGGTTTTCTGTTGCAGCAGAAAACCTTTTCTGTGCACAGAGACTCTCATGTGGCAGGAAAATTCCATCGTGCCGAGGCACTAAAATCATTGGGTTGTGACATATGCTAACTCCGCCCAGCCCTGCATGCCAGGATAGGCCTATGTGCCACATCTAGCACACAGGAACACAGCTCACAGGGCTCCCCACAGTCCCTTGGGGAGACCCATGAGCTGGATTACAAGGTACTGGCAGCTGGATCTGGCCTGCTGGCTGGGGGTTGAGCACCCCTGGGATGGATCCTAAATGAATCTGCTTGTTAGATGAGAATTCTGGACAACACTATCCTAGCTTCTTTCTTAACTCCAACAAATAAGAGTCTCCACGGAGATCACCTAATAATTTTAGGCAAGGTCTAAAATTAACCATCTGGCTATTTTTCTATTGCTTTTTTTAAATTTTATTTTATTTTTGGTGGCATTTTGTCTAAGAAGGACTGGCCACAGAGCCCATCTAAGATCACCAATTATGTTGTGGTATTGTTGCAGTGATGTTATTGCCTGGAAAGCTTGACTGGAAGAGGCCTGAGAAAGGGTACTGTGATACCCAAAGGTTTGCCTATGGCTATACCAACCATATAGCTGGTCCAATACAAGATATCAGCCACAAGAATTATTGTTTGTCACTTATATTGTTTCATTCTGCTTGTCACTTGAATGATAGTAAAGCATTGATTCCTTGTTTAGTGATAGATAAGAGCTGTCTAAGATGACAAAAACATGGCACTTGAAGAAGAGGTATTCAATTAAAGTCTGCTGTTTTTATACAGATTTTTGGTTTTGTGTGTGGGGTTCTTTTTCCTAAAGAATCCTTGGATTACACCTGATTTCTTTTCAGTCTAGCCATTATTAGTTGGTCATTTTCTTAGGCCCCCTTTACATGTTATATATATTATGCAGTTACCTGGTTACTTGTGCAATTAATTTAGACTGGCTACACATACAAATGAACTATAATGCCTCAAGAAGGTGGCAAAAAGTTAGATCTGGAAAATGTGTAATAACTGTAGAGCTGGTTTCTGTCCATCTTTAATTTGCATGTGTAGCCTATTCTCCTGTGGCTGGGATCCTGTCAACTGACAGAGCTCCCAGCCACCGGTGTGCTCTGTGCACTGCCACAGCTGAGATTCCTGCAACTGATGGGACTCCCAACCACAGAACTGTCCCATGGACTGCCGTAACTGGGTGCCGTGTCAGTTAACAGGAGCTCTCAACTGCACCCATGAGCCTACAAGCACCCATCTAACCCTGGCTCCTAGCCACAGGAGGATATGCTGCTGCAGCTGAGAGCCCTGCCAGCTGAGGGGCTTCTAGCTGTGGGAGCTTATTTTTTGTCAGTGCAGGAGGAGCCCGGGATCATACTCCCCCTACACTGGCAATAGGATGTGTTGGGATCTCATTCATGATCCCATAATCATACCTCCTACCATTCACATGTGGCATGGCAGAAGGCGTGATTGTGTGGATCGTACATCAGATCCCATTGCACCTTTACCTGCACATGTAGAGGGGCCCTTATAAAAAAATTAATCCTGATGAGGAATAGAATAAACAGATAACCACAAGTTAGTGGTTATAGATGATGTTGCTTTGAAAGTGATGGGAGAAAGGACAGGCAGGCAGTAATTAAAACACATAGAGACAATAAATACAAAACATTTATTTTTTTTAAGGATGGAGGGTTAAATACGAGAGGAAGAAGCTAAAAGAGATTCACATTTTAAGAGTAAACAAGAGGTGTCATGAGAGGCCAGAGACTCAAAAAGCACTTATTTGGTACTTTGATAGCCTACATCTTCAATTTTCCTTTTATTGTGACAGTTCTGTTCATATGATAACTCAATGAAAATATTAGGACAAAAGTCCTGATTTGCCCACAGCATGGATGGTATTTGATTCCCTTTTTTCCTCTTTTAGAAAAGTGACAATAATGGAAGACCCAGATCAGAACATTCATCTGAAAAACCTGTCTCTTCAGCAAGCAACCAATGAAGAGGAAGCACTAAACCTTCTATTCTTGGGAGACACTAACAGAATGATTGCAGAGGTAAGCTTTGGCCAATACTGTTATAAATCTCATATGGCTTTATAAGAGACAAAATGATTGTAAACATCAGCTAAGTACAGACAGTCAAAAAGTCTGAGGCGGAATCAGTCCATCTACACAAGTTTCTTTAAGGGGAAGGGCTTGCAGGGACCTCATAGGCAACTGGGATATCAGCAAATAGCAGCCTACTTTGATTCTTGATTGGACCTGGCAGTGACATTCGATGCATCAGTCCAACCTAGCTTGAGTAAGTCTGATATTACATGGAGCCAGGTCTATCTTACACCAGGATCTGCCATTTTTAAACAACTGTATTTGTCCTGAATTTCTGTTTTGTTATGGGTATAGATTAGTTTCCAACCATCTAAACTGGAAAAAGTGCAATGTCTGTACCTAGCCATTCTTATGTAACAACTGCTTAGACATTGCAACGGATTGAAATGAAGAAGCAGGTTCTCTGTGAAGAGCTATCCCCTGTGATAATGCAGGAAGTGTATTTTCATGTTCATATTTGTATTTTTTTTTATTTTGTGAGCTTTATTTTTTTCTATGTGAACCTAGTTTTCTATGATATAACAATGTTACATTGCAATTAAAATAATTAGAATGAAACAATTGTGGTCTTTTCCAATAAAAATGCAGATTGATTTTGGCTATTATGTGTATCCCGCATGTATGCACATAAAAAGTTCAGACCAATCATTAGTTTTATGTAACAATGTTAAAGCTTCTACCAGACATACTGGCTTGCATTTGAAGTGGCTGCACCAGCAACCAGCAGTCCTTTTTTACTTCAGGAACATGTCCATGTGGTTTTATTACATGAAAAAAGAAGCAAATACTAGTTTACTGCATTTTAAAGTGAACATTAGTAGATATGCTAAAATTAGGTTGATTTAGTTGACAATGCAAAATTATATAATAATATATTTGTAATTGTATTATTGCTATTCTGGGCTTATGATACCTTCATTTTTTTCACTCAGTAATTGAAAAAACTACGTAGATATAAAAGGCATACTAAAGTAGTTGAGCATTGTCAATCTCTGAATCACAAGATTACTTTTCAGTCCTGAGAACTTGCTCAACAAGTTTGTTCATATATTAGAAGTGTGTAATTTATTCAAGATGTCTCTTCTGAAGACATGTCTTGAAATGTCAAAAAGGTAGCTATAAGTTAATGAGGAGATAAATACTCAGATGGTATTTCATACTTAGACATTTTTCAGATACACGAAAAAATAAACTATAGCCCTGAGTCTCCATTAACTACATATGCACACCCATTGATGTAGATGGAAATATTTGTATCAGAAATGTGATTACAGGTTTCCCTTGCTTTATGCTGTACATGTGTTCCTGGAAAACGGCGCATAACTCGAATTCACGTAACGGGAACCCACTTTACAGTGTAATAAATAGGGATATGTTCCAAGACATCGACTGTCCTGACCCCCAGGCCCATTTCTACCACTTTTACAAGATAATTTGGGTACTCACCGACAGCAGACAGTACACACAAGTACAGGGCACTATCATAATGGGGATGGCAACTACATAAACATGTGTCACAGACAACGAGCGAGAAGCACAGATCCACACAGGAAACTATATTTTGGTGCGCATCACTCCCACAATGCTCCACACAAAGCAGTTGACTGTGGGCTTCCACCACACCAATTGCATAAGAGTGAAATTACCTTGCATATAATGATTTTTTGGTATAAAAAAGGTCATGTGTGAATTCGCACATACAGAACTGCATAAAGCAAGGGAAACCTGTATTCAAGAAGCCAGCACCTTCATCCATAACAGTGAGAATATCCTCTGTCTCAAATTTGTTAGAATATTTCCAAAGCATTAGAAGGATCTAAACTGGTGATGGTAAGTAAGGCTTCTTGATTTTTGCATCCTAAGAGCAAAATGCTTTAGGTTATTTAAACATATGTTTTGGCTTTTGTAAAACATCACGGTCTGGCCATTACACGTACATGTGTAAATTCTAACCCTGAATCTCTGGATATGTTATCATCCAGAATACGAGGAAAACATGGATTTGCTTTTAATGTGACTGTCAGAAATTGATTTCTACAAGGAAGGAGCTTACTGGGGAAAAAAATGACATAGTAATCACTTTTTTAAACTAGGTTACCAACTTCACAGTTACAGAGACAAACTCAGCAGCTACTATGGTAACCTGAAAACATCTGCAAAATATAGTCCCATGATCTGGTATACAAAATCAGCTTCTCTTTATGGCTTATTTTCATGTACTCCAACTGTAGCCAAAATTTTCAGGAAAAGTTATTAAGAAAAGCTACATATTTGTCAGTGTAGCACACTAAAAGTAATTTCAAAACCTATAACAACATCCTCTAGACAATGTTTTCTTTGCATTAATAGCACAAACTGTGTTTGAATTAGTGTTTTTGATGACATATCTAAATGAAAAAGATGAACATCTTGGAATCATTGGGAAAAATGGCAATTGTGACTAAACCCTCTGTTGATTGAAATTATAATTTACGTACTAATTTCATTTGAATGGCTCTATATAGGGAACAACATTTTCAAATGTGAGTACCTTCTTTGACTGTCTGTACTGGCTATTTTTATTTATTTATTAATTTATTAGATTTATCTGCTGCCTTTCTCAACAAAGGCTCAGGGTGGCTTACGGGAAGAGAATGAAATAACTTATAAAATAAGAGAATGAACAAGAGAACAAAACAACTTATAAAAGCAACTAGAGTATTAAAATAGATTATAAAACCATCCCCCTACACAGATCCTAGCTCAGCCTGATTTGCTGAGCACATGCCTGAGTAGGTGAAGGAATTCAAGAGAAAAATGGCTTCTTTTTAGTGGTGGGAAAGGAAGTTGACTTTAGTATTTGTATTTTAAGAGGCTGGAAGTCGTTTACAGAAATTGAGGCAAGAGGTAATTGAAAGCAGGGCAGTGTGGCACCTTACTGACTAAGTTGTTCAGAAATGCATAAACTTTTATAGGCAACAGCCCACTTCATTGGATGCAAGTCCATTCATAGCAGATAATGAAGTAGGCTGCTGCTTACATAAGCTTATTCATTTCTGAATGGGTTAGTCTGTAAGGTGCCTTGCCTTCTACCTGAATTCAAACACACAATACTAACTACCTCTCTCTACTCAAAGAGGTAACTGAGCCATAGTTAAGGTTGTTAGTAGTGGGAATAATGATAAAAGAGAGTGTTATGGTGATGTTAAGGAGGAAGAATTATCAGCATTTCTTGAGGTACAGGATTGGGAGGAAAATTTGAATTCCGTTTTGATGAGACTGAAGTAAAACAGAAAATGAGATAATATGGGTGATTGATTATTATTAGGTTGGTGATTGGTATAAGGGGAATAGAGGAAAACGAAATAGTGGAAGATGTTATCTAAAGAAAAAACATATACAGAGCACTGAAGTTCAACAATAAATAGTATGATGAGTGAAAATGAGAAGTCACTGAAATTTTTAGATGAAGTACTGTAAGGTGGATCCATAACAGGTTGGATCATTATGTTCAAAGTGTAGTCATCAGTGCTTTAGTGTTTAATTGAAAGGAGTTATCTAGTCTGGTTTACCGTGGGTCTGCCCTGGGTTCATTACTGTTTCATATCTTCCTTATGATTTGGAGTTTGGGATTGGGTGCGCAGTTAGCAAATTTACACTTGACACCAAGCTGAGTAAAGGTGCAGACACTCTGGACAAATTACAGAAGGTAGAACTCTGGTGAAGGTTAATTATAATGAGAGGAATTCACATTGGACACAAATCAATTAAATGGTTGGAAGAGAAAAAGCCTATAGAAGCAGTAAGTATAGATGTTATGATAGGGATTCTGTTGACAAATAAAATGAGATAAAAGATAAGGCTGAGAGTTGAGAAAGATTTCCCCCCTTCCTAGTGGAACTAAGAGAAGAAAGAGTAATGAAGCATTTTAAATGTGGAACTATCTTGCATTCTACTTTGCAGTGATGACAAGTATACCTTACTTGCATTACTGGGTGTTGTTCTCTCTTGCATGCTACAGCTTTTAATTAGCTAACAGTGTGTTACTGTTTCATTGTCATTTGGACTTTCAGGTGTCTATGGTACAGGTACCAGGGCCAGATTAACACATAGACAAACTAGGCACATGCCTAGAGCCCTAAGCTGCGGGAGGCCCAGTCCTTCCATCCACATTGGTCGTGCAAATGGCCCCATCTGCCTCCCTTCCCTTTCCTTCCCCTTCCCTCCGCTGGCCTCACTGGTGCAGCAGCTGCTTCCTAGCAGTGGCTCCAAGCCCCGCTTCCCACTGGTGGCAGTGCCAGGTTTGGGAGGGGGGTCTTGACTGGCCCGGGGTCCACAACTTTGTTTGCCTAGGGCCTACTAAAGGGTTAATTCAGCCCTGACAGAGACTTCAAAATGCTAGCAAGTCCCAAATTTGGGAATGATACAGAGGTTTGTCATTGAATAATTAGCAGTTGCTTCACAGAAGACTAGGGTCCAGTTTTACTAGGCATTATATAAAAACATAGTAAGAGATACTTGCAACCTACATAGAAGCCAGTAAAAGCACGTGGGGAAAAATATGCCTATTCCTATTTTACAGGTAAGTAACTGACATATTGAGATTAAATGTAAAACCCAGAGAGGTACAACAGGCACCTCCAGTGTGGCTGGTGGGACATTTAAAAATTAGGCACCTGGCCCAGAATCATTATTCAAGGTGTCGCAGGGCACTAAGGTGTGCCTGCTCCTTTAAGGGCAGAAACTGCCTAGGAGCAACTACTAAATGACTGTGCAGTAAAGCATGGGTTGTTTCCGACACTACTGCACAGTAGCAACGTCATGGTTTGTATCCACTGATGCTACATCACCATAGCAATGAGTTACATTGCCGTAGCTCATTGCTACGGTGATGTAGCGTCTTGTGTAGACGCACCCATTATGTCTGAGCTCCTGCTTCTCTTTGCAGTTTCGGTGCTTGAGTCAGG